ACTTGGGTCTTGACTTCCAATATTCCCCTGCTATATATGAAACCTGATCTGCTTCAGGTGTCAGTGTAACAATAATAATAATAATTTATTATTTATACCCCACCCATCTGGTTGGGTTTCCCCAGCCACTCTGGGCGGCTCCCAACAGAATATTAAAAGCACAATAAAACATCAAACATTATAACTTCCCTAAACAGGGTTGCCTTCAGATGTCTTCTCAAAGTCAGATATCGTTGTTTATTTCCTTGACATCTGATGGGAGGGCGTTCCACAGGGCCACCACCGAGAAGACCCTCTGCCTGGTTCCCTGTAACCTCACTTCTTGCAGTGAGGGAACTGCCAGAAGGCCCTCAGAGCTGGAAGTCAGTGTCTGGGCAGAACGATGGGGGTGGAGACGCTCCTTCAGGTATACTGGGCCAAGGCCATTTAGGGCTTTAAAGGTCAGCACCAACACTTTGAATTGTGCTCGGAAACGTACCGGGAGCCAATGTAGGTCTTTCGGGACTGGTGTTATGTGGTCTCGGCAGCCGCTCCCAGTCACCCGTCTAGCTGCTGCATTCTGGATTAATTGTAGTTTCCAGGTCACCTTCATATGTTAGACATGTATGACCGGGTCTTTAGGCTTGTGCTTGGGCAGTGCCATAGCTACAAGGGGGCTAGCTGAGGTTTGTGCCCCAGGTGAAGCCTCCAGAGGGGTGCCATTGAGGCTCCCAGCTGCTGTGTGTGTGTGTGTGTGTGTACACACAAATGCACACAAGGGGGTACCGAACTGGATTTTTGGCCAGGGTGAAATAAAGCCTAGTTTCACCCCTGGCTTAGGAATGTAAAAAAAGTCCCAGGACGCATCTATCTCCTGTCTACTACTGTGGCTTTGTGGGTTGGGAGCTGTTCCATGGAGCACACAGTGTGGTTTCAAAACTTGGCACCACCTTCTCTCTCTTCTGCCTCTGACAGTGGTTGCCGAGATGTGCAAAAGTCGAGCAATGCCTTATTCCTGTCATTCCCCATGGTGGCAACACAAACTCACACCTCCCCTTTTCCCCAGCTCCATGCAAAGATCTATTCCTCCCTGGAGTGTCCAGCTTCTAACCTGGCCTCTTTTACTTCCTGCCTGTTGTTGACTGGCAAAAGGTTCCTCCTCCCGCTCAGCTGGTCTCAAACATGGGGGCCAGTCCACTGTCCCTCAGACCTTGTGGGGAGCCGGACTATATTTTGAAAAAATAATGAATAAATTCCTATGCCCCACAAATAACCCAGAGATGCATTTTAAATAAAAGGGCACATTCTACTCATGAAAAAACATGCTGATTCCTGGACTGTCTGCAGGCCGGATTGAGAAGACCATAGCTGTCAACCGTCTCTTATTTGGCAGGAAAGTCCCTTATCCCAGCGCTGTGTCCCGCTGCCGTCCCTTATTGATGATGTCCCTTAAATTTCCTGGGTTTCCTCCCTCCTCTCCCTCCCTCCCTCTCTGCCGGCCAGGGAGGAGGGAGGCTCCAACTGTGTTGCTTGGCTGCGTTGCTCACCCAATAAGGAGTCTAAGAACGACTGGGGGGTGGAGCTTGCATGCCTTGTGCCGATCAAATCAGCTGCGTTGCCTGGGGACTCACCTTTGCTCAGCGCTTCCCAGCGGAGAGGTGACGGTGGTTTTCCTTGCTGCATCCCCTTTGCCGGGTTGCTGCGCTGTGGGAACCACCGCTTGAGGCTTCGTTTGGCTGCTGGCTGGGCTTTCTGCCTTTGGCTTGGAGGGGCTCAGAAGTTGAACATACCTGTGCTGGGAAAATCCCTTATTTTGGCTGCTGATCCCTTATTTTTGAGGCTGCTGGTCCCTTATTTTCAAATCTGTAAGTTGACAACTATGGAGAAGGCGATTGGGCCGGATCCGGCCCCCGGGCCTTAGTTTGCCTACCCATGATCTAGATCCTGCTCCCCATTTCTACTCTAGCCCCACATTCATCTCTTTTCCTGCCTCCCTCCCTCATTCCTGCCCCTTGTAACCAAAAACTCAAGCTCTTGTCAGATGCTGGTTTGGAGAAGGAGCTCAGAATGACACGTTTCCACTCCTATATTATCATCATATTTCACTCCCAACTCTTTCGAGGCTTCTCAGTTACGCACCGCATAAGCCGGATGAAATGTTATTCCTGCCACTAATGAGGTTGTGGTTTTGTGTTTGCGAAGCTGAAAAATTGTTTGGTCCAATGACTCTGTCTGGGACAGACGTGATCTCTTTATTTTCAATGGAATCAGTCGATAGGTACCTCAGAACCTAGGAAAGTAACCTGGAGACCATATGTGAGTTTTAGTCAGTCTACAGGGACACCCAGCAATTCTGTGCCTTTAAAAAAAAATATTTGTGCATGTGTGCAAGTTCCATTTCCCAACCAAACAGACGCTTTTCTCTACCTTTCCAGAGTAAATTAACAGGGTTGCTATATTTCAAACAGCGAAAATCCAGACAGAAAAGTTGTTGAGATTTTTGGGGCAAAGTTCTTGAGCTTCTTGGGCAAAATCACTAAAAATGCCGTTTTTGAGCTATTTTTAGGGGGAAATGGCAAAAAAGGCACAACCAACATGGGCTGCCATACATCCAGATATTTTCCCCATTTCCTGCAGGAACACTGTTGCCAACTGTTTATGTCCAGGAAAATCTGAACGTATGACAACCCTAAATTACCTTCATTCAGCTTCCCCGAGTTCCCTTGGGCAATTCACCACCTTGTCTAAGAAAGGTTCCCCATCTTCTAATTGGTCATTTCCTACTACTGCTTCTTGGAGTGCTGTTAATCACCCTACTCATTAGCAGCCCATTTACTTCATTTCTGTTCCCTACATTATAATGCCTTCAAATCCCCAGAAACAAGGCATCCAGCTTCAGCAAAGTGAATTTAATAATAATAATAAACACTTTAGAAGCAATGAACTCAGCATCACCTGCTTATTGCATTTATTTATGCAAATTACATTTATCTGGGGGGATATGTTCACCTCTACATAGGTGAACGTAAAGGGACCCCTGACCATTAGGTCCAGTCGTGACCAACTCTGGGGTTGCAACACTCATCTCGCTTTATTGGCCGAGGGAGCCGGCGTACGGCTTCCGGGTCATGTGGTCAGCATGACTAAGCTGCTTTTGGCGAACCAGAGCAGCGCACGGAAACGCCGTTTACCTTCCCGCCAGAGTGGTACCTATTTATCTACTTGCACTTTTGATGTGCTTTCGAACTGCTAGGTTGGCAGGAGCAGGGATGGAGCAACGGGAGCTCACCCCGTCATGGGGATTCGAACCACCGACCTTCTGATCAACAAGTCCTAGGCTCTGTGGTTTAACCCACAGCGCCACCCATAGCTCCACCCTTATTTCAGACAAAGTGATATATCGATGTATCGCAATGTTTAGCTAGTGATATATTGTGATGTTGAAAACCAGATTCCACCCAGCCCTAATCTGTGAGGGAGGACACACTTTGAGGAGAAAACAATCAAACTGAGATTAAATAAAAGGGGGTGGAAGAAATACAAATAGAATGAGGGTGTTTTTTGCAGAGTAGGGTAGGACAGCTAGCCAGCCGACCTTGCTGAACAATTGGGCACTTAAAAACTCATTTTAAGTTCATTTAAATAACAGACCATAATCTGCTTTACGGCCATTTAACTTTTGCACAATTAGCTTGGCAAAATAAAAAATAAAAAATTGAAATGTGGCAGAAAGGGGCTGAAGTTCTGAGATAAATTACTTTGCCAACCCCACCCTCCATGATATTACCCAAGGTGTTTTGACTAGATGTGATTTTGGCTTTAGGCGCTATCCCTGGAAGGAAACGCTTGCGTAAGTTATGGGCTTACTGTATGTAAAAGGTAAAGGTAAAGGACCTCTGGACAGTTAAGTCCAGTCAAAGGCGATGATGGCGTTGGGGTGCTCATCTCACTTTCAGGCCGAAGGAGCTAGAATTGTCCACAGACAGCTTTCTGGGTCATGTGGCCGCATGACTAAACCGCTTCTGGAGCAACGGAACACAGTGATGGAAACCAGAGCGCATGGAAACGCCGTTTACCTTCCCGCCGGAGTGGTACCTATTTATCTACTTGCACTGGCATGCTTTTGAACTGCTAGGTTGGCAGGAGCAGGGACCGAGCAACGGGGACTCACCCCATCGCAGGGATTCAAACCGCCGACCTTCTGATTGGCAAGTCCTAGAGGCTCAGGAGTTTAGACCACAGCACCACCCATTACCTCTTTACTTTATGTATTTTACATTGGCTTATGATGCCCTTCCCAGTACTGTTCAGCTCTCGCGTCTTAAAAAGTTGGGCTACAGGGAGGCGGCAAGTGAAAAGATGGCTTGATTGTATGAAGAACCTTCCACAGGCATAGAAGAAGCAGCTCCAGAAGCCAGTGGGCTTTTGGAAAAGAAAGCGGAGGCATAGATGCAAGACCGACAGGGAAGGGAGTGAAGATATGAAAAAACTGAAGGAAAGTGTTATGTACTGAGTTGAATAGGATCCAAAATGCAGCAGTCTGATTGGTCCTAGAACAATGCAGCAGTATGATTGGTCTGCAGGAGCCACCCAATCCGGCTCCAGATGGAAGTGAATCCACAACCTGATTGGCCTACAGGAGAATTCTGCGATTAGCCCATTGTGTAAATAATGTATATAAAACAGATACTTTGAGGGGACTTTCATTCCTCCTCACCACTATGAGCTGAATAAAGAGCATGAAATCCACTCTCGACTCCGAGTCTATTTCAGAAAGTTATATAACAAGGTGGGGGAACAGTAGATTGCACTCATGTCATTGAAATCCAGAGTTATCTGATCTGGAATACAAATTTGCCTGGCTCTGAACACTTGCATGAATTATGAATAGAACATTATTTGATTGCACAGCATTTTCTTATCCTTAAGCATAGAATTTAGCTTTCCTCAGGACAGAAGTTGAATCTTTAATGTATATGCCTGAAAAGCCCTGGATAGGAGGGCTTGCAAGAACCAAAGCAGGTCCCTGGGGATAGCTTAGTTGGTAGAGCATGAGACTTTTAATATTGTGGGTTCAAGCCCCACTTTGGCCAAAAGATGTCTACATTGCAAGGGTTAAACTGGACGGCCCTCGCGGTCCCTTCCACCTCTACAATTATTTGATTCTTTGGTTGCCAACAAGCATCCACGACTGAACAAGGAAGCTGCTCGGACCGGCCCCTGTGGCTGAACATGAAATGAAGTCACAGCTTCATGAGGAACTTCGAACTAAAATAGCACTGGGAGACTAAGCCCCTACATGGAATGAAATACCTTTTGCAACAGCCCCAAGCCAAGTTCTGTTGTGCAATGATATTTGAAGCAATATAAACAATTCGGAGAAAAACACAGAACAGAACAGGCAAGATTGTATACAGTCGGTGCGGCAGAAGTGAGCTTTGTTCCACGCCAAGCTTGGCTCTTTTATGCGAAAGGCGCGGCTCATCAAACCTGACGATTCCAATAGATTTATCTGTCCCGGACCAAAACAAAGCACATTTCTGTCCTTTCTGGCACTATCAGATGCAGTAAAAAAACCTGAGGCGTTCCATTACTTTATCCACAATTAAGGCACCTAGGCAGGATGAGGTTCTGGCTATATAAACGTAATACAAGAAAGAAAAGACTGTGAGGCATGTGAGCTCTTGGTATTTTCATTTTAACCATCCTTTTGTGAGCAGACACGAGAAAGGCCATTGCTAATCTACAGTAATTTTCAACATAATAATAGTAAACAAAACTGGCCTTGCACAAAACCAGGCGGCTCTGTACTGTCTTGCCTCTGACTAGCAGTGTGGTTCAAGGTTTCGAATGCAGGCATTGCCCAATCCTGCAATTAAGAGATCCTCTGGCTGCAAATGCACCTGCGCCGGCACTGAACTATGGAACTTCCTCGCTTCCAAAGACTGTCGTTTGTCAAGGATAAATTATATTTCAGTAAAACAACTACCCAGTCAAGATTAAATCCAAGCCCTGGAACCAACCAAAAGAGGACTACAGTGGTACCTCTGGTTACATACTTAATTCGTTCCAGAGGTCTGTTCTTAACCTGAAACTATTCTTAACCTGAAGCACCACTTTAGCTAATGGGGCCTCCTGCTGCTGCCGCGCCGCCGGAGCACGCTTTCTGTTCTCATCCTGAAGCAAAGTTCTTAACCCGAGGTACTATTTCTGGGTTAGTGGAGTCTGTACCCTGAAGCGTATGTAACCTGAAGCGTATGTAACCTGAGGTACCACTGTATGGAAGTCTCGTGGATTCTGCAATTGTGAAACTTCTGGCTCTCTCCAGCTTAGAGCATCATGGGACATGGATGAATAAATATCCCAAGTGTATATTTGATTATTTTTGTTAAATTCATATGCCACCCATCATCTGAGAATCACAGGGCAATTTACAGTATAAAAACACAAACATCCATAACATAGTAACAAACAAAACCCCACTCACAAAGTTTGAAAGGCCACAGATTGCTTAATTAGCCAAAGGACTGGGAGAAGAGGAATGTTTTGGGTCCAATGCCTAAGGATATGTAAACAAAGGCTCCCACAAACTGGGAGCTACCACAGAAAAGGCCCTCTTCTCAGGTTGCCACCTTCTGGACGTCACATGGAGGAGGCACACAAAGAAGGGCCTCAGGTGATGATCACAAGGTCTGGGTCAGGTGGGGAAGGGCGGTCGGTCCTTGAGGTGTTGTGCTCCTAAGCCATATATAGCATAAACCATTTTGTGTAGATGAACATGCAAGTGTACCTAAGTGTTTTAAGAAAAATCTTTTACATTCTGCGCTCTCTCTACACAACCTTTACGCCTAATGAAGAAAGCGCTGAGGTGGAAGGTATGTGGCGTAAAGGGAGAAGTTCATCTACTCTCTTTCCCTTACTAAAAGACTCAAGGTGCTTCTGAATTTCTGACGGGGAGTCCATCTCCCAAACAATGGAGTTTTCTCCCCAAAATAAGCTTATACCAAAAAGTTGTGGTTGACACTGCATAGCAACCCCACAAATGATCATGGTGACCTCCACTCCAAATCCCACAGCTTGGTCATGTGTTGGCAGGCTGGTTAATGAAAAGCAAATGAGCTGGTTAACCAGTCGTGCAATGTTAAACGGACCCAAGGTTTCCCCCCAGCGCAGAGGTGGAATGTATCGCTATCATTTTGCCAGCTCCTCAAAAACTACTTGAGTAGAGGAGTGGGGAGAAAGGAAATGCAAATGGAAAACGCTTCAACTCTTTAGCTTTATGTGCTTCTTTGCTTCCTTGCTGAAAATAGAATTACTGAAATGTTCTCAAAAAACATGTTTTATTTGGGCACGGATAAGCAATCTATGAGCGACACACACATATAAAATTTATTCTGCTGGTAAAGAGCAGAGAGGTTTGCCAACCAACTCAGACAGATGAGAGTCTCCGGTGGTTTTTGCTACTGGACCACAGAGCCTGCCCAAGATATTTTGGCACCTGAGGTGAAACACAAAATGGTAGCCCTCTCCCCGCTAGAGAAGGAGGAATGCGTGAAGATCTATATCAGGAACAAACATGGAATAAAAACCTACACTGGGGTCTGCTGCCCCTGTGGATCCAGCCGCCTGAGGCAGTTGCCTCGCCTTCCCTCATGGGTGGGCTGGTGCTGTCTGGCCATTTTGAGCTATGTTGTTCCTACCCTTGACACATAGCTGTCAACTTACAGATTTGAAAATAAGGGACCAGCAGCCTCGAAAATAAGGGATCAGAAGCCAAAATAAGGGATTTTCCAAGCACAGGTATGTTCAACTTCTGAGCCCCTCCGAGCCAAAGGCAGAAAGCTCAGCCAGCAGCCAAACGAAGCCTCAAGCGGTGGTCCCCACAGCGCAGCAACCCAGCAAAGGGGATGCAGCAAGGAAAACCACCATCACCTCTCTGCTGGGAAGTGCTGAGCAAATGTGAGTCCCCAGGCAACGTGGCCGATTTTATCGGCACAAGGCATGCAAGCTCCACCCCCCAGTCGTTCTTAGTCTCCTTATTGGGTGAGCAATGCAGCCAAGCAACACAGGTGGAGCCTCCCTCCTCCCTGGCCGGCAGAGAGAGGAGCTGCTTCCTTTGAAACCTGGGAAATTTACGGGACATCATCAATCCGGGACAGCAGCGGGACGCGGCGCTGGGATAAGGGAGTTTCCCACCAAATAAGGGACAGTTGACAGCTATGCCTTGACACTAAAAAACATTCTCTATAGTCTACTTCTGCTCCATAAATGAGAGGGCAGGCAATTCTGCAGGGAAAGGATAGTCTGTAAGCACCCAACTGAAGCAGACATTATGCCGGGCACCTCTTTTCTGAGAAAACAGGATTGTCTGAGTTAGAGTTCTTTAAGCTTGGGCCCTCAGCTTTGAGTATGTGCCCAAGAGGTGTGCCAGAGAGGCAGGAACTTAAAGCTTGTTTTCTTTCTGGACTTGAAGCAGAGGGAGTGATTAAACGAGGAAAAACAAGTCTGATCTGTAATGTCAAACAGCAGCCTCTACCACTCCTTCTTCCCATTCCAACTCAACCCTTGTGATCCACACAATGCCGCTATCTATCAGTGTGGTAAAGCAATTACCCAGCTGAGAAGGAAAACAGAACCACTCCCTTAAGCATATTTTTGCGTACTTTCAAGAAAACACAAACTCCTAAACTAATCTACTTTCAAATGGAGGACTGCCTGCAGGAAGACCATCAAACTAGCAGAGAGGAAGAATTCATCTTGCTCAGATAATACAACTGCTGGTTGGTTGGTTGGTTGGTTGGTTGGTACAACCCATTGCTGTACAGTGGTACCTTGGTTTAAGAACAGCTTAGTTTATGAACAACTTGGATTAAGAATGCTGCAAACCCGGAAGTAGGTGTTTTGGTTTGTGAACTTTGCCTTGGAAGCAGAACATGTTTCTCTTCCTGTCAAGTGTGTTCCATTTGTAAATTGAGTCCCCCGCTGCTATGGGAAAGCACGCCTTGGTTTAAGAACGGATTTCCAGAATGGATTAAGTTCGCAAACCAAGGTACCACTGTAATATGGTCTCAAAGTTTGTTGAGTGATAGATCTGCATTGCTTTGCTTTACCTGATGTTGAACTTTTGATTTTCTATAATCAAACAATTAAAAATGACCCTTTTCACTGGCCCATTCACACAAGACCATAATCCAGAGTCTGGAACAAACTATGTCTAGCTACACACACACACACACTACTTAAACCACAACCACCTTGCTGCTTCGTTTGCTGAGCTCAGAGGAAACAAACCACAGCATAGGGTTGCCATATGTCCTCTTTTTCCAGGACACGTCCTCTTTTTCAGGATTAAAATTTCTGTCCAGGCAGATTTTTTAAAATTGGCAAAATGACTTGAGTTTTGTTTTTGGTTTTTTTGCAGTACCCCAAGAAATTTTTTAGTGCATTAGACTCAGATCTAAGGCACCTGGCTAAGAGGGTCTGCAGCAGAGAATCACAACAGAGCAGTATCTAAAACTTGCTACATACTGTATAAATCCCTTCTCTTGTGGCTGAACTAAAAGGACCCTGGCTCAGCTAAAAGATCTTGGAGGAGGAGTCTGGGAGGGCAAGAGTTAATATCTGCCTGCCCTTAAGGAGAGTTCATATGCACATGGTAAACAGTTTGATAAATTGTTCGGTGCACACTTATGTTCTCAAAGATGTGGGCCCAAATACTTTCCTGTGGCAAGTGAGGGAGCAATATGTATTAATATTATTTTGTTGTGGAAAGTGAAGAACATTGCTACAAGCAATACAGTGGTACCTCGGGTTAACTACTTAATTCGTTCCGGAGGTCCGTACTTAACCTGAAACTGTTCTTAACCTGAAGCACCACTTTAGCTAATGGGGCCTCCTGCTGCTGCCACGCCGCCGAAGCACGATTTCTGTTCTCATCCTGAAGCAACGTGCTTAACATGAAGCACTATTTCTGGGTTAGCGGAGTCTGTAACCTGAAGCGTATGTAACCCGAGGTACCACTGTATATCACAGCTTCTATAGCCTACATATAGTAAGGGTGTTTAACATGAGAGTCGCCAGAGTGATCCGTAAA